CGGGTGTGAGCTTTGGCTACACATAAAGAAAACCATCGTGCAAGGAAAAGGACAGAAGCATGGATGGGATGTTCAGTCTGCCATAGTGAAAGTCCGAGAGCCGAGACTGCTCATTGTTACCATTGCTGCAGGAAAAGTCCCTTTTGCGTTGATTGTGTTACATGCACCAAGCAATCATCTAGGAGAAGAAGTGCAGGAAAAGTGGTGGGCACAAACAACTAAGTCCGTGAAAAGAGCTGTTCCTCATAGTCATCATGTCATTGTCCTCGCTGATGCAAACGCACAGCTCCTGAGGCCAGGTGATTTGGGTTCATGCCGAGGACACTATAATGTTAGTTCACCTGCAGAAGAACTCTTCTTCGACTGGTTGCAGACAGAAAATCTCGTCGTAAGAACTCGAGAAGATGATGAGGGCCGATCATTATTTACGTGGTCCCACTCTAGTGCAAGTGACGTGGATGAAGTGCAAAAAGGGTCATGCTTAGACTATATTGCCACTTCGTCCGATCTTGCATCCTGTGGCACAAGCATTGACCTGAGTGGTTTTGATACAGGTCGCGAGAAAATCGATCATCTGCCTGTAGGGATCGAGTTCAAGACCTGGATCGGCACGTCATTCCAGAACATGCCAAAGAGAAAGCCTCGTGTTGATGTGGACATCATTAACACGCCGGCAGGTGAAGCTATTTGCAAACAAATTGCACTGTCAATTCCGCAAATCCCGTGGGAAATTGATGCGACCTCCCATGCGCAGATTCTTGAAGAGCATGTGAGTGAAGCCATGTTACAATATTTCCCTAAGCCTAAGAGACAGCCAAAGAAACCCTTCCTTGACCAAGAAGCTATTCAGTTGGTCAGACAGAGACGTCTCACACAACGCTGGTTGAAGCAGTTAAAAGCCTTCCGTCGTCTATGCCAGACATGGTTCTTCTTTCAAGCATGGAAGTACCATAAGTGTGAGGATCGTTCTTTGCCTGACTTTCGTAGTTGGAATTCAGAGGGAGGCAGATGCCAAGGGCAACTCGAGCTCTTTGCAAGAGATCTAATGAGAAAGTACCAGAACGTAGCAAAACACAAGCTGAGGGCCTATGTTTCAGATTCGGTCACAGTAGCCTCGCAAGAAGGATTAGACCATCTGTTCCAACGGCTGAGAAAGCTGACCAAGTCTAGAAAACACAAGACTAAGTTCAGCTTACCAGCTTTACAAAAGCCAGACGGGGCAGTAGCCAATACGCCTCTTCAGGTCTATGAGATATGGGAGAAGCATTTCCAAGAATCTGAACGAGGTCAGTTTGTTGATTCGATGGCCTTGCAACACGAGCACCAAGAAAAAGCATTTAAGCGCTTTGTGGAGACCGCTCAATCCAACGAAGTGCTTACTTCGGCTGATGTCCCCACGCTCCAAGAGTGTGAACAAGCGCTATTGAAATTTGCCAGAAAGAGAGCGCCGGGACTCTCTGGAATACCAATTGACCTCTTGAGGAATGCTGCACCAGACTTTGCACGCAAAGCTTATCCGCTTGTGCTCAAATCCGTGCTGCGATTCGAAGAGCCGCTACAGTGGCAAGGTAGCCTCATTGTGCCGATCCCGAAAAGCAATGGGATCTCACCACACGCAAAAGATTGGAGACAGATCAGTCTTCAAGAGGGGCTGGCAAAAATGACGCATAGAGCATACCGTGAGAAGTTGATGCCATACTTCGAGTCTTTTGCTTCCCCATTGCAAGGAGGGGCAAGAAGAGGCATGCCAACGTCACTGCCAGCACAGGCAGTACGATTGTTCCAAGGTGCTTGTCATCAGAGGAAAATCAGCTCAATGGTGATATTCCTTGACGCAAAGCAAGCATACTATCAAATTGCTCGGGATGTGCTATGGTTCCGGCAGTGGCCGCCAGATAGGCAAAGGGATTTTCTGGATCGCATGCCATGTTCGGAGCACATGAAGCAGCAAATAGGAGAGGTATTTTCTGCTCGCTGTCCACTTGAACAATGTTCTGTGCCCAGCAAGATAGGTAATATCATCCAATCACTCTTTGAAGATGTGTGGACCACAATGGGAGTCAATGGCATGCCGTCATGCTCCATGACCGGGACACGTCCGGGAGACCCGCTGGCAGATCTCCTGTGGTCAATCGCATTTGGGAGTGTAATCCGACAGTTGAAGTCTGATTTTACCGAGCTTGACCTTGTTGTACAGCTTGACAGTAGAAGATTCACATGCCTTCCAATATGGGCGGATGACCTCTGTGTGCTAGTTTCGCATTCTGATCCATTCCGATTGATAGAACTTGCCAGCATAGCTTGTAATCGCCTCTCCAGGGCATTCGCTAGCTTAGCTGTCGAGCTAAATCTCGGAAAAGGAAAGACTGAAATTATCTTCAGTTTCCATGGACTCAATGCCACTAAGGCCAAGCGCCAAGTTGCAATAGATATGGGCAATCAGATCCCATTTCAGGATTTTGAAGGCACAAATAGGTTCGTGCGTATTGCTACTACCTATAAGCATCTTGGAGGGCTAGTTGGTAGAGCTCATCAATTTCGAACGGAAGTCCGCTCTAGAGCAGGGATTGCTGGCAGCGCCTTTCGAGCTCTACGCAAGCATGTCTTTGCTAATCGAACTATCTCCAGAGAAGTCAAGTTGCACATTTATGACGCAATTGTTAGATCTAAGTTCTATCACCATGCGTCATGTTGGTCATTTTCGACGCAACAGGAATGGCAAGTGTTTGATACGGCTGCATTCCGGCTCTTGAGATCACTTGCAGTTGTCCTGCATGGACATGAGTGGAAGGAGGCTTCCAACGAGAAGATTGTTGCCAGATTAGGAGTTCTGCATCCGAGACAGCTACTGAGAATTGAAAGGCTGCGGCAATTTCAAAAGATTTGTCAGTTTGCTGATGCGGATTTCTGGGCAATCTTGGAGGGAGAATCAAACTGGCTCCATAATATGCTATACTCTGACCTACTTTGGCTTAAAGAGAATCGTCTGTGCCCAGACTGGCTTTGTATTCCTGAAGCTTCGCAGGTTCAAGGTCTGGCTACATTGTTGGCAGACAAAGGGGCAGAATGGAAGACGCATCTCAAGCAGGTAGGAAAAGCATGTCGCCATCATGCTCAGAGGTTGCAGGAAGCCCATGAGTTTGAATGTAAAGCACTCCAGATGCTGCGACAAATTGGCGTCATTTCTTTCGAGCAGACACACGGTAATATGCAGAAAGCAGTCAAAGGTTCCTTCCGTTGCCAAGTTTGCGATAAGATCTTTGGCACATTGAAAGCCCTTGGAGTGCACAAGCATAGACAGCATGAAGTTTTCTCTGCACAGTACTACTATGCGAAAGGAGACACATGCCCGGTTTGCCTAAAATATTATGGCAATAGTGAAGCGCTTCAGCAGCACTGGCAATATAAGAGGGGCACATGCTGGAGCATTATCCAGGAAAGTGATCTCGACCCGGAAGATTTTGGAGGTGATAGAATTGCCAGAGAGCTCGAGATTCCGCCGCTAGCGGGAATGCAATGTGCAGGACCCAAAGCATGGTGGTCTACACTTCGACCTCTGGTGCAGGATAACTCGTCGGGTGTCGAAAATACAGAAGCCTTCGAGGAAGCTGCAATTCATTACCTCCTCAGCTTAGCTCCAGTTGAAGAAGAACTGCACTCATTCTTAGATGGCGTTAAAAGTGCAGCATCCTTTTTGCTTCGCACCTTCGGCCAAGAGTATTTAAAGCAGGAGGGCGCAATTCGCATGGCAAGCAAGACCATCGCATTATGCTCTCCGGAACATAGAAGATACTTTGGTCGTGTCTGGGACGTCCTGAAAGGACTATGGCAACAAATCGCAGTTCCAACCGAGTCCCTGGACTGGAATGGACTCATTTGCGGCAATATAGCGTTTGTTGTTGACTGCAACTTTCGTGCATTGTCCTTGGACTGTGTTCCCAAGCAAAGAGCCAAATATGTGCTTCATCTTTTCAGTGGTCGCAGACGTGAAGCGGATATCCAGTACTGGATTGAAGAGCTTGCAAGACAGACGGGTTGTTCAGTGACCTGTCTTTCGTTCGACCTTGCAATAGACGAAAAATGTGACCTACTGGATGCGCATGCACAGTCATGGCTGAGACAGATGATCAAAGCAGGTCGCATACTCGCGCTCATTGCGGGTCCGCCATGTGAAACTTGGTCACGAGCGAGAGGAGTCTGCCTTAAAGATGAGAGCAGTGCCAGTCAGCCAAGGGTCCTCAGATCCAGTCAGGAACCTTGGGGAATGATTGGCCTGAGCCAGCGAGAACACACCCAATGCATCGTTGGCTCACGGCTCTTGCAGTTCACAATCATTCTCGTGCTCGATTGCATCCAGGCCGCAACAGGTTGCTTGCTCGAGCACCCGGATGAACCAGAAGACGATGCAAGTCTGGCGTCGATATGGCGTCTGAAGGTCCTACGTGCAATGCTGGCGCTGCTACCTATGAGAAAGCTTCGAGTCTGGCAGGGACAGTTCGGGGCAAAGTCTCCAAAGCCCACAGCATTGATGGTTTATGGCCTTCGAACACTTGAAGAACGTCTTGAACAACAAAGATCGTCTGAGATGCCTGCAACTCGGTCGATCGGTCGCACGGCGGAGGGCATTTTCGCGACTAGTGAGCTGAAAGAGTATCCTCCAAGAATGCGCTTAAGCATTGCACGTGCAGTTGTAGATAGCTTCAAAGAAGCAAGTGCAGGCAGTTTGGACCCCGAGGAGATTGAGCTTGGTGACGACGCCTTTCTTCAGGCGGCTCAATCTCCGTGGGATCCCTATCTCCCTACCGTTATGCATTCAGACTTTGGAAGCAGAAGGTAGGACACTCCGACCGCTTGGGTCGTTGAGAGAGGTTTCACCCCCACCCCAAAGAGGCCACAAGACAGTGAGTCTGCGAGCCAAAAAAAAAAAAAAAATTGGTGGAGAAAGGCAGATAGCCATGCATGGCCCTACCGGGAACTACCGGATTCCGGGAGTGGGTGAGGTGGCGGAGCAGTACAATGAAGTCCTTCAATCGGTGTCTTGGGTTGGAGGACACTGGACACCGCTTTCGAATTCGAAGGGTCAGACAGAGACGGGGCTTCATGGTTGTCGGGTTCGTTTTGATGCATGTTTCAAGCATTTGGCAGCTGGTGGGCTTAAATTTGCTGAGAAACTTCAAGACTGGTATCGAACGAACTCCACACGTGGTGGGGGAAGCTTTTCGATCACTGAGAATGGCGAGGTGAGTCAGGCGCCATTGAGATCTTACAACTAGATCAGGGCCTAGAGACAAACGAGCAGAGACGACCCACAGAAACAGTCACTTGGAAACAATCTCTGACAGTTTTTGCATGTTTTTGCATCCAGCTCTGGCTATGTTGGCTATGGCTATGTCATCTCCATGTTGTTTTGTCCCATAAGCGTCCCTCGTCCGAGAAAACCTACAACGAGTGCAAAGACTACGCAGAGAAGCTCAGCTTCGCGATCAAACGTGCCGAGGAACTGCTCAGGCGACACGCTTTTTGCTAAAGGAATATACTCTACTAGGGTGGAGGAGGCCATCGCTATTAGGGTGGAGGCCACCGCTATTAGGTTGGAGGCAACCGCTATTAGGTTGGAGGCCATCGCTATTAGGGTGGAGGCCATCGCTATTAGGTTGGAGGCAACCGCTAGTAGGTTGGAGACCATCGCTACTAGGTTGGAGGCGATCGCTATCAGGTTGGAGGCGATCGCTATTAGGTTCGAGGCCATCGCTATTAGGTTGGAGGCCATCGCTATTAGGCCATCGCTAGTAGGAGGCCATCACTGGTAGGCTGAAGGCCATCGCTATTCGGTTGGAGGCCATCGCTGTTAGGTTGGAGGCCATCGCTACTAGGTTGGAGGCCATCGCTATTAGGTTGGAGGCCATTGCTATTAGGTTGGAGGCCATCGCTAGTATTAGGCTGGAGGCCATCGCTACAAAGATGGGAGGCCATCGCTATTGGGTGGCAGGCGGTTGCTAGTAGTTTGGAGGCCATCGTTATTGGGTGGCAGGCGGTCGCTATTAGGTTGGAGGCCATCGCTATAGTAGGTTGGAGGCCATCGCTATAGTAGGTTGAAGCCATCGCTAGTAGGTTGGAGGCCATCGCTCTAGTAGGTTGGAGGCCATCGCTCTAGTAGGTTGGAGGCCATTGCTACTAGGTTGGAGGCCATCGCTCTTAGGTTGGAGGCCATCGCTCTTAGGTTGGGGGCCATCGCTAGTAGTAGGTTGGAGGCCATCGCTAGTAGTAGGGTGGGGGCCATCGCTAGTAGTAGGTTGGAGGCCATCGCTAGTAGCAGGTTGGAGGCCATCGCTAGTAGGTTGGAGATCGCTAGTAGGCTGGAAGCCATGGATATTAGGTTGGAACCACCCCTCCTGCGTTGGAGGCCATTACTGCTATTAGGTTGCAAGCCATCGCTTTTAGGTTGGAGGCCACTACTAGTAGTTTGGAGGCCATCGCTATTAGGTGGCAGGCGGTCGCTAGTAGTTTGGAGGCCATCGCTATTGGCTGGCAGGTGGTCGCTAGTAGTTTGGAGGCCATCGCTATTGGGTGGCAGGTGGTCGCTAGTAGTTTGGAGGCCATCGCTACTGGGTGGCAGGCGGTCACTAGTAGTTTGGAGGCCATCGCTATTAGATGGCAGGCGGTCGCTAGTAGTTTGGAGGCCATCGCTATTGGGTGGCAGGTGGTCGCTAGTAGTTTGAAGGCCATCGTTAGTAGGTGGCAGGCGGTCGCTGGTAGTTCGGAGGCCATCGCTGTTGGGTTGGTAGGCGGTCGCTGGTAGTTTGGAGGCCATCGCTATTGGGTGGCAGGCGGTCGCTAGTAGT